AGCCATCACTGTATTGTAAAGTATACAAGCCACACATTACAGTTTTTGTTTTGTTTTTTGTCTGCCAAGTATGTTATTATACAAGGACAAGGGGCTAGGCAACAAAAAAATGATTATTATCGCAATATGATTTTCTTCAATAACAATATAACAAATGTTCAATAGATCGTCAATAAATGTTTGATTTAATTCATTTGAATCACAAACAAATTAGCACATCATTTTTTCCATTAAGATATTTATTTTGTTGAGGAAAAGTGGCTGAAAAAAAGATTTCATAATCATATTTTTTGAAAAATGTTATCATTGTTTTGAATGTTGTCGCGTTCTGACCATAAAGACCACACAAATAACCATCTGGTTTCTTCAATTTTCACTCAAATTTTCACAAAAAACAGCCCTTAAACTTGAAAGAAATAATGATTTGACATTTATCGTGATAATTATCGGTATCAAATGGTATGAAATGTTTTTATCGTGATAACATTTTTGGCCATATCACCAAGCCCTACCAGGAAGTTCACTTCGAAACATGTAGCGTTTACATACACAAGGTGAAAAGTGTGGAAGCATGATTGTGTTGTTATCAGTGGGCAACACAAGTATAGAGTAAACAATATGTTGTCATGGAGGCGTTTTGTGTGGTTACTAGTGTTTACAGTCAAGGCTTTGAGAAACCGGTTTTGCAAAAATTTGAAACACAGCTATCACAAGATGAACTGTCATGGAAACCCTGTGCTGTGCGCTGACTGACAGGCCATGTGTTATATGATACCTGTGAAGTGCTGACTAACTGCCTTTGTGTTTTAGCTTAGTCTGATGTCAGGATTTATTCAGTAGACAGCCAGTTAAGTCTTTGAATTGTTGATGGAGAATTAATAGTTTGACTTTTATGTCCTTTTTTTTACCGTGTTCTTTCTTTGCTAATCATGTTTTTCATTTTTAGATTAGACATGTCTGTACCCTGCAGTATCTGATGATAACAAAAATAACAAGATAATATAACAAATATACAGCTGACATTTGAATGAAAAGTTAAAGCAGTTTAGACGTATTGCCATGTTTTAATCATCAAGGAAAAGGATTGTCAACACAATGTGTTTCTGTCGAATGTAGAGAGCAGAAATGCTCTGCCTCCCATGGCGAAGGAGGGTACCACGCTTTTCGCCTCAGACACTGGGCTCAGGGCCAGCCTTGGAAAGCCAGTGCTAATGACTGTCGCACAAAGGCCAAATGTCTCACAGGGAGGCAGGGAGAAGCTGGCGAGACTCGACTCACTTGATCTTGCTACAGAGTTCAGTATGTGGAATGAATCCAAGTAGCCAGCCATAGGTGGCCTCCACATGATCAGCAGTGCTTTTGTAGACTTAGCTTTAGCATTTCTCTAAGCCTTTCTGACCCATCTCACATCCAGGGTTGGGTTGTGTACTTTCTGTATACCTCTACACTGTATGTTTATCATAGATAGCTTTTTCCTGTAAAGCCTTGCTGTCCTCTCAGTTGTGGAAGTATTTTTTGTGTGTGTGTGTGTGTTTTATTTTGGGGGGGGGGGGGTGGATTTCTGCTTAAGAGTGTGACAGCTGGAGAGAGACGGAAAGGCATGAGAGAGAGTGAGTGAGAAAGGGGATAAAATGCAGCAGCGACCTGGGTTCAATTCCAGCTTTGATAAATGTGTGCACTCTACCAGGTGAGCTGCCGGGGCGCCCCTCAGATGTGGAAGTTAATGTAACTTTTTGCTCATTTTCAATGAGATTTGTACACGTAGCGTTTACATACACACTTGTTGCAATAGTCTTCTAAAGTGCTCTATGATTGTCTTACACCCAGTGAAGCTTTGAAATATTGGGGTCATTGATGCACTTACTTGACTGAATTTAGACTAGGACGAGTTACTTTATGAGCAGCAGGCTACATTGAGGATGTCATTGCATAAAGATGGGTTTTCTAGAGGTGAAGTCTCGCTCTCTCTCTCTCTCTCTCTCCACTGTAAGCTGTTGGCTACGGGCCCAGGTCTGTGACATGGAGGAGCTGAGGAGCTAAAGTGGGCAGTTTTAGAGAAGCTCCACTGAACACAGGGACAAGGACAAAAGGTGCGTCTATGTGTGCTTGTACACACTCCAGTGAGTGAGTGGAGCATGTACACGGAAAGCATCCTTTTAAGTGGGGTCCAAGGATCACAGGCTATAGTGGTTAATCGTCTGCTGCAGGCATGTAGTGTACATGTGTGCGCTCAGTATGCATTCACGCATCCTTTTAATTGAGGGCCAGAATTGTGGTTGTAGTTCATCGTGTGTTACTTACATTTGATAGGTGTGATGCGCATAACAGATAATGAGATAATTAAGCTCAATATTAAAAATTCCTGGAGAGGTTGATCAAATCAATGAAAAGCTCCTACGTCGGCTCCTACAGACAGAAATAATGAATTTGCAATCCCTGTGCTCCGCCGAGAACCAAATCATCTGCTTTGACAAAGTCTCCGTGGGGCTGACACAATGACTTTGCTCTCTCGCTGGAGATGAAAGAGGCCTGTCACTTATGAAAATGGCCACAGGGAAAAACCTGTCATCAAGCAAGAGGTGTTGACACTTGTTGTCGACGCCGTTGCCATTGCCGTTTGCGGCCCTCACATTGGCAGGACGTTGGAGAGCTAAGCATGCGCCATCAATGCCAGCATGGGGCCACCACTTAATTCAACTACATTTAACATTAAAGGCTGAGGGGGTGGGCAACGTGTTGTAGTCCGAGGACACGGCACAGGTTATTTGGGGATAGATGGGATATTTCAGACCATGCTAAAGACTCATTTTAGGTAAACTATTCTGATTTAACTGCATTTGCACTCCTATGTTAAAAACAATATTGCATAGCTACCAGGAGCTCATGGCAGATAGTATTGTGGGATAAAAGACTACGCAAACAAAGAGCTAAGTACTGATTTCTCTGTGTTTGTGTGTCTTCACAAAAAATGTGTTTTGCATATTGTTAACATAGTAAAGGCTGAGTTTCGTCCTCACCCAGTGGGCCCTGGTTCATGGTGGACTGCTGACTTCAGCTCAGTAGAGTGAATGCAGTGCTAATGGCTCCTGACATAAAGCACTGGGACTTTGGCTTCTGTACTTTTGTTGCCCTGGGGCCTAGGACACAAACTAAGGCAGAAATGTAGTTAGGCAGTAAAACAAGCAACTAAGCAATATCTACAAATAAATGTAGCCACATGCCTGCATACACAGTAGCACGCACACACCCAGTGGCAAGGACACAAAGACACCCAAACAGACACATTAGGATCCCTCTATGCTGTCATTCTCCTCCTTGCCTTAGGGAGGAGAGTTGACGTGAGGAAGGACAGTGTGCTGGGAGCGAGTGGTTGTCTGTAAGAGGTTCCCCTGGGTTCTGTGGATTCGCCTGGTTTGAAAGGGTTTAATGGAGTTGAACTAAGGGCAGTTAGCCAACCAGGACACATGATGCTACAGTGGAGAAGAGCAGGATCTAGGCCGCCCAAAGAGCAGTCACCCTTACAAGACTCTGCTGTACTTGATCAGTGGCATAAAACTGTCACATGGACTGTGAGGTTATTGGTTGGTTGTTTTTCCATGCAAACAACAAAGGATTATCTAAACATGTTTTCACAGGGAGTATAAATTTTAAAAATATTCACAAACCAGTGCTTTCCCATAAAACATTTTGGTCAAAATATAATACAGAGGGATACATGTGACCAGATCCACAAGCTCCGCTGTCATTTTGTGGGCGACATCATTGCTACTGGGATCAATATGAAGAGCATTGCAGTATTCTAGCTTTTAGCACCTTACCCTCCACTGTCCTGCTATTCTCATGTCACCTTCTATGTGCTGGTGTTCACACATGAGCAGCTTGAGTGACAGTGACATTTATGGGCTTGTCCCCAAACCCTGCATGTTCTCTGGAGGTATCCAACAGCGATGTGCCCCCCAAAGGTCCTAATATACCCTCTATCAATAAATCAGATTGACTGAACTGCAGGCACACATACATACAAGTCAATCTACAACAACAGACTGCTTTAGGTTATTAACTGGAGGAGGAGGAAATCAACCGAGTAGCCTGACAAGGTAGATCAATTGCTCCCTTTGCTTCTGAATCAAAACACAAAATTGATTCCCCACTGCACTGTTTACACCATTGTAGTCTTGTGAGAGATGTTGACAGTAGTTGTTTTCAGATGGGTTTAAATCCACGAGTATGAAAAATTTGTCTCTACAATGAGTCATAAGTGCTGCCAGAATTAATAGACTTGTGCATCCAAAATTCATTTGGAAATTCATTTGGCCATGGGATTGACATGACCTGAAGTTGCCCCCGGCTGCCCTGCATTAGCATTCACAGAGTAAAAGGGGAGTGAAGCACTAATATGAAGTGGAAGAGATCCAACGTGTTTTTTTCCATTCTAATAAGTGACAGTCAAGAGGTCTAAAGGAACATTTTCCTTAGTATTTGGAGGCAATAGCAGCCTCCTCTCCTCTCCACTGGCTCTGTGCAGTCTTCCTGGCTCTAATCATGTGGCCATTGTGTATGGATTTACTGCCCTCAGAGCCCCCAGGAGGGAGATTTGATTTTTTTCCCTCTGCACTGGCTAATCTTTTTCCTCTCACTCTTCCTTCTAATTCTGTCTGTCTCTCCTCCTCTTGCAGCCTCAGATGTTTTTGCTGTCCTCTCTTCCTTTAGATAATCACCCTTAGTTGACTGGAAGCATGTATTCATTAGCTGGCTTCTTCATAATTTCTTATTTCTCACATTTTCTGACCACATCTTGATTATGTCTTTTCCTTTCCTTATACTTTGCCACACCAGCACTTTCCTCATTGCTCAGAATACTAGTGACTGAAATAGCCAGATGATTGACCAGGGGCATACTTAATATGCATGTATGATTGCTAAACAGTTACATGGCAGAATGCATTACTGACTCATTTAGTTGTTGATTTGTTTTGACTCATTGTTTTACTGTTTTCCAGCCACTCTCACTCTCCTGGCTCCATGGCAGCAGCAGTGCGAGGCAATGAGTGGTCATGTGGACGCTGCACCTTCCTAAATGCCAGCGCGGCACCTCGCTGTTCCATTTGTGAGGCACCACGCCAGAAACCCGACCTTAACCAGATCCTGCGGCTGAGCAGCACTGAGGAGCATCGCTGGGCCTGTCCACGCTGTACACTCAACAACCCCCAGGGATCTGGAGCCTGCTCCGTCTGCGGCTTTGGACCGTCCCCTGCTACTCACACACCCCCTACAACTACCATAGCCGCCACTGCCAACGGCCTCCCGTCCGCTCCGCCCGAATCCCCGACACCTACTGTCACCCCTACAGTTCTTCTTGAGCCCCATGGACCTCATCCAGCTAAGGAGGAAGTGCTGCGACGATCTGAGAGCAACGGAGAAGTGGTTATCCTGGAGGGGCAGCACTCCGGCTGGGCTTGCCCTCGCTGCACACTTCATAACACACCTGTGGCACTGTCATGCTCAGCCTGTGGTGGGCCCAGGAAACTCTCATTGCCTAAAATTCCCCCTGAAGCATTAGTGGTGCCTGAGGTGCGCACACCTGTGCTGGGGTTTCCTGTAAATACAGCAGGGGCTGCACCTCTACTCATAGACTTAACAGATGACTCTCCCCCACCCCCTCCCTGTGATCCTCAAGAACCTCCTCATGCCTCTTCACAGACCCTTTCCACCCCTTTTACTTCTTTCTCTTCCTCCCTCCAAAACAACCCTGTTCCCCGCAGCAGGAGAGAGGTACCCCCTCCAGGGCGCCCACCAAACCCAGGCACCAACACCCCTAGCCCTACTTCCCCTTCAGCGGCCACTGTTCCACCCCAGCCAGGCCCACAGCGCCCAGCCAAGCCCAAACATGCCCAACCCCAGGAACCTCCATACCCCAGCAAGCGCCTCAGTATCTTGGAGGAAGAAGACCCACAGCAGCATCCACTGACCCCCCACCTCCCTGTTGCTTCCTCAGCCGCCCCCACCTGGAAGTGCCCTAGCTGCTCATTGCCCAACCCAGGTGGCTTCTCTAAGTGCGAGGCCTGCCGATCAACACGGGCAGGTGCTGACCTCATTGACCTGGTAGGATGCGAGACGGTACGATTTACCCCGGCCAGCCCCTCCAGTCCGGACTTTAGCACCTGGGCCTGCTCCAAGTGCACGCTGCGCAACCCTACAGGTGCACCGAAGTGCTCAGCCTGTGGTTCTTCCAAGCTGCATGGATTTCAGGAGCAGCAGGCGCCCCTGCCCCGCTGCTGTACACACTGTGGCCTCCCATTGGGACCTGGCACTGCATCATGCTCCTGCACACCTTCCTCTTCTTCATCCTCCCAGGGTCATAAAACACGGAAACAGGCCCGGGGCCTCCCTCCCTCCTCTTCAGCTATTGCTTCTAGTTCCTCTTCCTCCTCCACCTCATCTAGCCTTCAGGAGAAGGTAGGACAGTGGAGCTGCCCTGCATGTACGCTGCTCAATGACATCAAAGCAAAGTACTGTGTGGCATGCCACACAGCCCAGCAGTACCTCACCCTTCGCAAGGTGGTTAAGCCTCTTAAAAGGAGGGAGAGCATGCATGTAGAGGCCCGTCGACGAAATGACGAGGGTGAGGCCAAGGAGCTTTGGGAGAACATTGTCAGCTTCTGCAGAGAGGTAAGGGGAAATGAGTTGTAGCTGGGAAAAACAAGAAAACAACACTTTCATGACACATGGTTAAAAAGTTATAGGCACAGCTATGGTTGCATCATCTTTAAAGAGTGGACAAGTAAAGCCTTGTCTGAGTAGTTTGTTTTCATTGATAGCCATCTGACATTTGGTCATTTGTTGTCTAGCAACAATAAGTTAATCATGTGTGGCCATTTTTTTTTTTCTTTTTACCTTTACGTTTTGTTGAGGTTTCCTTGACTTCCAGATTTGCTGCGTGTGTAATTTGTTACAGGGTGCACATTGCCTTTCAGAGCATAGTTTCCTCATTGTAATTCCTCTTTTTGTTATGGTTCTGGCATTGTTCCCACTCCCTCAGTCTCTCATTTCAGAGAAATGTTAATAGGCTTTGTCATTGCCTCTGTTTGCACTTGCTTCGTTAGCAGAGTTTTAAACGACCAGCGGGTGAATGTTGGCCACCCTAAATGAGCTGCAGATCCTCAGTCTAATTTTTATACACAGACGGCCTGCCCTCAGTCACAGAGAAGTCACTTCACTAAATTAGGATTCAGAATTTCAAAAGTCTCCACACTGTAACTCTTATTACAGTGTGGAGACTTTTGAAATTCTGAATTGGGAGGCTCTAATGAGTCCAGTTGTATTGTTTGTTCTGATCAGACTCTTTTTCTTTTATGCTGACAGCCTAATTTGTGTCAGACTCTCTATTTCATGTCCTCACTTTGCACCGACCACAACTTATTTAGGAAGATATTAGACTACTTAATGAAATACATGTTACTGTATAATAGTAGACCTGTCTGTGAGAGATAAAAGCCTTTTTTCATCATTCTGAATGTAATTTCCCATCAAAGTGAACCTCGCTGCATCCATTTTGCTAAGTTATTAAAGGATCAGAAATGTGGTTCTTTTTAAACAGACAGCAAACACTCCTTTTTTGTATCACAGTGAAACAGAACATTTTGATTACGCTGCATTAATGTTAATCATTAAGTGTTTTGAGGGATAAAAACCTAATTATGCTTTTGTTATTATTACGAACTTGTCTGCTGTCATAACAACCTAAAATAATGATGCATTTTTCCCTGCTCCGGCGCCGCTGCATTTAATGTTCAAAGAAGACTTTGAAGTCAATTGTGTCATCATGACCCCTGATTGGTCTGATTCACAGTGTCACAGCTGTTTGGAGACACAGAGATTTCTTCCCTAGCAACTAAAGTTAAAATGTGACAACCTTTATGCTGCTTCTTTGTATCACACCACTTCATGTTCCCTTATTCTGCAGTGCTAAACATTTAATAAGCCTGTATGACGTTGTCATGGATATGCTACTCCGGGTGGTCAGAAGGGCTCATTGGAGAGCATTTAAGCCTGCTAACACCTATGCTAATGAGACAGACCTGACTGGACTAATTTACCGTCAGATTAATGTGGGTATTGCAGAATCTCTAACTGATCAGATTCAGGTTATTTTGGGGCTAGGTTTATTTCTCTGAATTTATTTGGGTGTCTGTTGCGTGTCCACTTACTACGCTGGCATGGCACCTATCATGCCATGTTTACAATAGCATGAAGTGAGCTTTAGCGTGCATTATTAATGGCTTCTTTGAAAGTCACAGGGCTCACTGCTGCGAGCGTGGGAGGGAAGTTGGCTCAGTAAGAAGGCAAGATATCGGAGAGCCCTCATCCCCACCCTTCCCCTCCTGTTTTCCCAATTTAAGATAGACATTTAAGCTAGTCATCTTTCCTTTCCTCCTACAAATATTTTAGGTCTCTCTCTCTCCAGCTCTGCCTCTCTGCGATCTTCAAAGTACTTTCCCCTCTAAGTCTCCTTTTTATCCCATCTCCCTCCATCACATCTATCCCCACACGCGCACATCCTGGGTTTTTTTTTCCTCCTCTTTGCTAATATCTCAAAATATGCTTTCCCCTTGCCACCCACCGCACTACCCACCGCACCCCCATCCAACCCTCCCCACACGACTGCGCTCAATTCTCCAGTTTAGCAGTCAATGTGTGGCTGGCTGTGTGTGTGTGTGTGTGTGTGTGTGTGTGTGTGTGTGTGTGTGTGTGTGTGTGTACGTGCTAAGGTGAACACAGGGCTGGCCTATTTTTAGTAGCAGAGCTAGAAAGAAGAGGAGCAGAAATGATCTGCTTCCCTATAGTGAATGTAATCACTAACAGCATCAACTGCTGCAGCTCGGTTTTAGGGGTGGAGGGTAAGAATTGGGAAAACGAGAGGTGCTAGTCTTCCTCATCCATCTCTGCCCAGGCATTAACACTTGGCAAGCACCGAAACACCAGTGGTAAAAATGTAATAATGATAAAAGCTTTTGGTTTACTCTGTTTACAAGGCGTTTGTGCAGTCAGGCCATGCGGATACGTTTCAGACTGCATTATTTTATTTGTTTAGTTTAGATTTTCTTTCTAAGCTTGCTGGATTATAGCATAATGCTGCTGCTGCTGAAATATGCTGTAGAAGTCACTGGAGAGTTTGTCGGAATTGTAGCAATCAATAAAGGCCAAACTATGGTGTGAGAAACATTATTCTCTCCTCACCTAAGTGAAGTTAATTTCTTTTGCCTCCTTGCTTTTGTACTCTCCTTGAGTGTGCGTGTGTGTGTGTGTGTGTGTGTGTGTGTGTGTGTGCGTCGGTGCCCCAGAGTGTGTCCGCTTACTCACTGTGCCAAACGAGTAAATGTTACTAACAGCCATCAGCCCTGCTTGTGAACTGTAAAACCCAGCATGGCTAGAACTGGTTCCTCTGTTCCCCCTCCATGTCACCCTCTGGGGGAGCAACAAAAAGATGCTACATGGCAACGGATGACTTTGATTTGTTTTATTTTTCTTCTTTAAACCACTGTTGATACTACTTGGTTTTTGCCGCATTTTTTTTTTTTTGTTTGCATGTTGAATTGGAAGTTCTGACTGCCCACAGTGACAGGTTTTCCCTGCCTGTGACAGTATTGTATGTACCAGGCTGTTTGGGGACACTTTTGGGTTTAATAAGTGTGGCGCTATGAAATCCATCTCTATAGTTCCTTGTCACCACATTTTCGGAGATCAGTAGGGAGATATCTAGCTACACGTTTACTATCCTCAAAAAGGTCCTTGTATGCCCGCCAGTGTTTTGTAGTCTGGGAGATGGCGGGAAGGCAGCAGGTTTTCTTAGCTCAATACTGAATTGGCTGATTGTGGTCTAGTTTGCATGCTGGCATGTGCCCAGTGATAGAATCAAAAACAGCATCGCCCAGTTCACTCGATGAACACAGTCAGCTATACTTACATGCACGCAGATGTCTTAACACTGCAATCTGAAAAACTGGAAAATGTTTTGTGTGTGTGCAGGTTATTATGTCTTATTTCATTCAGCCAATTCATGTTACTTAAAGGCTTATCCCATTCTACATACTCTGCTTCAAACACACATCGTCGTGGTTATAATATATGTCTGTGGCGGAAACTGCGTGTTTGTGATTCACTGCTTAGAAAATGAATCACCTATCATTAGGCCAGAATCGAGTTGCAGGTCTGTTGAGTTCCATATGACTTGTATGGTGTCAACAGCTCTTGGAAAAACAAACAAACAACAAAAAAAAACATTATGCTCATAGAACACCATGTGCGCTCCAGATGTGAATAGGATAATTGCAGCATGTGCAGCACAGCCTTTTCCTTATGGGCAGACTGCAGGAGACCACTCTGCTCATTATCATGTCTTTCAAGTGACTCGGAACAATCGACTCAAATATGTTGATGATATGAGAGGTGAGTGCAACAAGAAACTCTTAACGGCAGTGCCTTCTGGAAGGGAAAGGATAGATTACAATATGTTTAAGCACATGGCAGAATTTCCTAGCACATATTGGGATGTAGCATACACTAACATCATCAGGCCCTCTTGGTTTATTCATTAACAGAAGTTCACTTTAACCTGAAGATGAGACTGTGAAAATAAGTGTCTACCTGCCAAACAGTAAAGTCATTCTTAAAATTATTAATAAATTCTTAAAAACACAAAATGTACAAGTCTGTAAATAGCAACTGAAGGGCCCATCTCATCTCTTAATTTTCAGGAATTAAATGAAATAAACAGTCAGTATAGGCTAATAAAATAATGTCCTTAAATGTAAGAGTCTTTGTGGCAAGCATCTTAACTAACCTGTTATTGTTGCCAACATTTAGGCTATCTATTACAATTAACATGCTTTTAATTTATCTTCTTCGCTCTAATGATGATGATGTTGTATGATGTAATATTTTAGCTCAGACTCCAGGATAAGCATTTCTGTTATGGCTGATCAACAAGAAGTCATAGTAACTCACAGCCAGTAGCTGCAGCTGAGCTCTGCCAGGTGCAATTTGGCTGGCCTCTTTTACCCTTGGCCACTGCTCACAATTTTGTCTCTCATTCCTCTGTAGTCTGTGTACATACTGTGCTCAGTGAGTTACACTAGTTTAAAGTGCAGCCTCTACGCGTCCAAGGCCAAAGGTTTCCCCTCCACCTCTGTGGTAAATCCACATCGGCCCCTAAGCCCGTACAATAAAAGCCAACACAAGGGTCATACATAAGCCTACAGAATCGGTAAGCTACATGGAGACCTCGGATGGTTGGGGTGGTGAGGCAGCGTTGAAGTGATTCTGTCTGGTAGCTAAGGCTGCATCAAGGCTACAGAATTGGATTGTGGGGGATGGCGGCTAATCAATTGGCTTCACTGTGAGCCAGTAGGGTGCCCACATTACATCCCCTGCCTGCCTGCCTCGCAAACAAGACCGACCGAGCCCACTTCTCACACCTCAAATAGGAAACTGGAGAGGTGTGTGTGTGTGTGTGTGTGTGTGTGTGTGTGTGTGTGTGTGTGTGTGTGTGTGTGTGTGTGTGTGTGTGTGTGTGTGTTGGCCCTCTCAAGTTTGTACAGGAGAGTTTTATATGGGCAGATAGTGTGACAGATTGTGTGTCTTGATCTGTTAATGTATCCGTGTTTAAATCCAGTGTGTTATTTTAAATGCTCTGTGCTCTGCAGGGAACATGCCAGAAAGTGAAGTGTTGGAAATATTTGAAAGTGATTTGCATATATGTGTCCTGTATCCTGGCTGGTACATGGCACGACATCTGATCTCCTGCGGTGCACATATGTGATGCTGCATGTGTGAGTCTGTGGCTCATGTGGTGGCCTGTAGTGTCCTGTATTAATTGTCATCTACCTGCAAAATGTGTCATATCAGAAATGCAGGGTAGAGATTAACTGTTAGTCCTCAGAGCCCTAAGTGCCCTTCAGGTTTGTATTAGCTGTTTAAAAAACTTTAGTTTTAAGTGCTCTCACAAGCTCCTCCGATTTTTTTAGACAAGATGTTTTCTCCTAACAATCATATTTGTCATTGTCCATCCATCCATCATCAACCGCTTATCCTGCGTACAGGGTCACGGTGATATTTGTCATTGTTTTGAAATCAATTTTTAATGGAAGTAATGTTCAGTAGTCTCACCCTATTGTCTCCCTGTCACTATTCCTCTCCATCCCCCACCCCCTCATCCCTATTCAGAACTCTGTGAACTTTGTGGATGACAGTTTCCCCCCGGGACCTCGCTCAGTGGGCTTCCCCGAGGGTGACAGCGTCCAGCAGCGAATCAAAAAGTGGCTCCGTCCCCACGAGATCAACTGCAGCAACTTCAAAGACCGAGGAGTCAAGTGGTCCGTCTTCCGCACACCACGGCCGTCTGACATCCTGCAAGGCCTACTCGGAAACTGCTGGTGAGCTGTCAGGACACCACAAGGACACACGGGACACTCATCAGTCTAGAGAACGTCTAGACAATCTAGAGACAGGCAGTTCATTTACAAAAAAGACTTTTAAAAGGCAGGACAAACAAGAAGGCGATTAATGCTTTGACCCGAGACAAACAAGAATAGACAAAGATCCCCAGAGTAAGGACATTTTTCATTCTGTTTGGTCTCTGTGAAAGGTCAGAGTAGTGTAAAACAGACAACAGATAAAATTTCATATCTCTGGTTTTGTTCGAGTCCACTTTAGATGAACACTGCTGCCTGAATCTAGTAGAGATGAAGAGGGAGGCAGTGAAAAAGTAAGTAAAGAAGCAAGAAACTGAAAAATTAGGAGGCAGAACGCAAGCATTAAATGAAAGGGGGAGCAGGGTGTAGCGGGACAGAAGCACAGATACACCTGGCAGGGAGATTATTCACGGGAATGAGAGTCTGGACACATGCTTTATCTCTCTGCCCTTGTTCCGTGTGTCCTTTGGGGTATGTATACGCGTGTTGCCATCTACCATCTTCCTCTGCACGCCACACACAACAAAGAGCAGTCACTCACAAAGTTATCCCAGTACAATGTTTCACTTCATCACCAGTACACACACAGCTTATCAAAAATAACCCTCCCCAGAGCCAAATCCTCTCACTCGCAACAGGATGTAACCCTAATTCATCTCTCTCACTCACACACTCTCTCTCTCTCTCTCTCTCACTCACTCACACACACACACACACACACACACACACACACACACACACACACACACACACACACACACACACACACACACACACACACACACACACACACTTGTCCTACTAAACCAGCAAACAACCCAGCTCTGTTCAGCCAGCCAATGACAGCAGAAGAAAGTAGTGCCAGTCACCCTTGTCCGACCTTGAGTACGGCTGCAGTACAAGCTGACATTAGTCCCATTATGAGACTGCTAATTGGATTTTCATTTGATTTTTTGTATGCGATTGGCTTTTCATCAGTGGATGAATGGGCTGATCGGCCTCGCTCAGGTGCCACTTAAACAGATGGACTATAGCTTTAATAACGCATATTTCCAACCCTGTATAAAGAGTTTCATTCTTTCAACGGCTGCTTTGCTAACACACATCAACTGGAGGACTGAAAGGGATATTACTTTCGTCTGTATATATAGTGACAGTACTGCCAGTGGCAAAAGTAGCTAGTCCGTTTGGTCAAGTTTTGTTACGTCAATAATAAGGTGGTCAGTATACTGTCAGCAGCATACAGTAACAAATATTTTAGCTTCTTGTCCCAAAACCTCAACTGTTTCATTCAGCTATTTCATCAGTTCTGTATGATTTCTTTCTGCATTTTCAGATGAACTAACGTTCACTTTATATCTCTTTTAAGTTTGATCCTCATGTCCCCAGCCGCATTTCTCTTGTGTGAGAAATTTGCATTTTCTGATGTATCCGGATTTTTCATTAGCTAATTTCTCTTGCAAACTAATTAGAGGAGGCGAGCCAGTTTGTCTCTTTGCTGCAGGGTGAATTAACACTAATGTGGAGGTAACCAGAAGGCTGAGAGGCTTGACATCAAATGTGATTGATTTTCAATGAGTGCAAATTATGTTTAAAAAAAAATCTTTCAGAACTGCTCACTCTCCAGTACCTTGTGGAAAAGGATATTTTAATCCCACATTTACAGTCTAATTGCTGCTTGTCAATCTGTTTCTTTTTGTTCTTTTCAGTGATTGCATCTGTCAGTCGACATTCTTTTCCCCCCGCCTGTCTTTTTGACAGTGGGCATCCATTCAGCCATCCACCTCTCCATCACAATCAGCTGAACATTTATGTCTTTTAATCTCCATTTGTTTCACAGCTTTTTTCAGATTGTCTTTGCGCTTTGTTTCAGTCACGTCCACCTTCACCCATCTGTCCATCCTGATCCGACGTTTCGTTTTCATTGACTTTTATCCCTGTCCAGGTTCCTGAGCGCACTGGCGGTGCTCGCGGAGCGCCCGGAGCTGGTGGAGAGGGTGATGATCACCAGGACCATCTGCACAGAGGGCGCCTACCAAGTTCGGTTATGTAAAGACGGGACGTGGACGACGGTACTTGTGGACGACATGCTGCCGTGCGATGACTATGGCTACCTCCTCTTTTCCCAGGTCAGGAAGGGAGGGAGGGATGTGGGAAGCCCTTGAGGGAGCAGTCTGGTGGATGAAGTAATGGATAGGAAAATGGTGAAAGCAAGGAAACGGAAAGCTGAACAGAATCATAGATATTCAGTGAATAAGATACTATATTAATGTCAAAGAGGTCGCATGGACACTTGTCCTCTTCCAGGTCAGAGAGGTTAGAGAAGATAGATTGTGAATATATACAGAGGACCAAAGCAACATGCTGATCACCATCTGACATACTCTTTTAAAGGCAGCAGGAAGGAGCAGCAAGAACCTTTTGACATACAGCCTCGTTGACGGAGGTGCAGTCTAACATCAGTGCAATATTAACTTCCTAATATAAGTTCAAGTTAATTCATTATCAAGCTTGTTATCACAAAGCATGTCTCAAAGGACCCCAGAGAGGAGGGTTGTACCTGGAGGTCTACTTAATCAACAGTCAATTACAGGACAGATTAAGGATTGCATTATGCAACAAATAAACCACAGAGAAACAAATCCAGGCACACACATCATACCTTGTCCACATAATTTTGTCGGGACTATTTAGCACCGCCAACCTTAGATTCTCAAAGAAGACGAGGAAGGGAAAAAAAGAAATAGAAGAGAATTTGGGTAGGCCAGGTTAAAGTGAAATCCTTCACCATGATGACTAAGCATGAATGAAATAAAATGGTGATGTACATGGTGGTGAATGGTGATGAACAGTAATGTGTATGGCAATTATATAAGAAGAATAAATAATAAAATAATTTGATAATACATTTTTAATCAGGTTTTCATGTTCAGTCACAGCCAATAGGTTCAGAGCACACTTTAAAAACAGACCCACAGCAAACACAACATCCTGTTACAAATGTACCTCTGTCAGGGAGCCATACTCATGACTCGTACTTGACTGAAAATGTTCCCCTTTCTCTTTCCTATCATCCCAGGCCCAGAGGAAGCAGCTATGGGTGGCGCTGATTGAGAAGGCCTTGGCTAAACTCCATGGCTCCTACTTTGCCCTGCAGGCAGGGCGCGCCATCGAGGGCCTGGCCACGCTGACGGGGGCTCCCTGTGACTCCCTGATGCTCCAGGTCAGCTCCACCAACCCTCGGGAGGAACCCATCGATACAGACCTCATCTGGGCCAAGATGCTGAGCTCCAAGGAGGCAGGGTAAGATAAGGAGTGGATTATAACATAGGTACTATATTTATCCTCTGTGTTCTGTTAAATACAAGACAACATACATATAAAATAGACTGGTATATTCTTGTACAGTACAGGGAAGAGACAAAATAATAAATAGTCAGCATCTCGGTGTAAATACACTGAATCAGACACATTCAAACATTCTGTAAATATAACTACAAACACGAAGGTGTTACAAAGCTGGAAAGGTCCTGAATGCCAATTTGTAGCATATGTCATTAATAAAAGAGGTCTGCTAATCAACACTTTGATATGTGAGCTTTAAAAGCGATATGAGACAAGTAGCACAACAAGGGGCCAGATTATCTGTGGCCAAACTGCAGGTCCATCTGTCAGTAAACCTGTAGTATTATTCGATATATCAAAGAGGAATGGCCTGGAAGCATGACAACATTCAAATTCTGTGCTAGAGACAAGCTGCATCAGCAAAGAAGGAGCAGCAATCACAGGTAGAAAATTTGTCTCTTAACTCTGTGTGTTGCTGCCAAATGGGAGATTTTAATTTTGAGGCTCTCCTGGTGAAATAAAGATTAAATAAGTAAAGAAATAATGAACATAATTAACTATGCATAACATTACAGAGGTTGAAAAATAGTTTGTACTGACCTTTAGTTGCAGAACAATTGAATAATTGCATTATTTGTGATTGCAGCGTTATGTTTCCTAATTTTAAGTGAATTCAATGGCCTACACTGCGTGGTGTCCTTGTCTGTTAGGTTTCTGATGGGTGCATCTTGTGGAGGAGGCAACATGAAAGTAGATGACGCTGTCTATGAGTCTCTGGGTCTGCGGCCTCGACATGCCTATTCCGTCCTGGACGTACGAGATGTCCAGGGTTACAGGTTTGAATAAACAGAAGAATGAACGTGAACTAGACTGATTACCTGCCTGTCTCGTCATCTTTCAGCTTCTAGTTTCTTTGTTCTTTGTTTCTTCCTATCCTGATCACTTGATAATGCAAACTCCTCACCTTTAGGCGAAATTTGACGTTTTGAGACCAAAATGGGTCACCTACGTGATTTACGCAGATCTGATGAGAAAATATTTTTGGGGGGGGAAGAGGGGGGATATATATCTACTGAGTCCACTCCAGCATGTACTTAGCAAAATTACAGCTGCATATGCCTAACCAATCGTCACCCCTAATGGCTAAACCTGACAGCCAGTCAGAGGCAGAGTAGGGCGGGTCTTTTTTCAAGTCCGCTACACAGTGGAGTCAGACAGCTGAACGTTGAAAGACTGCCGACCTGCTGAACGAACTGTCATAAAGCAAGCCTGATGTAAGATATAAGTAAGCTAGGTTACAATATTAACTGTCCTGTCAGGTACAGTAATGTTTTAAGTGTGTAAGTAGCCCACTGTTATTAGCTAAGCTTAATTGTTCATTTATGGAGACCAGTAGCAGCACAGTAGGCTATATGTAAGGTAAGCTTAACATCAACGGGATAAAAACGTGTTGGCATCTGTGGTTTTTACACTGGCGACGCTGTGGACACTTTCTGAAATGGCTTATTTTGTCCCCGCCGCTTTTTCAAAAAAATTCTGAATAGCTTGAAAACAGAAATGTTAAATAGGCCTAACAATTGAAAATGTTTTGAGAAAGGTTCATTTGAACTTATTTATTTAACTTAAGCTAAAATCAAGCTACTAATTATAAAACGACCCAAAAACGTGCAGCACCAGTCAACGTAACACCAATATAGCGTATCATCTCCCCTCGTGAGCTCTGTATCAAAACACCCCTAATCTGAGCCCTTATGTCCCCACCGCTTTTCAACACAAAATGACGCCTTTGTGTGTCGGTATCTTTCTCTTGTTGCAGTACACAATTGCACGTTATCTATACAAACATGTAAGTTTAAACAGACCACTCTGACACAGTCTCTGTTTGTACACTGCTCAAAAAAATAAAGGGAACACTAAAATAACACATCCTAGATCTGAATGAATGAAATAATCTCATTAAATACTCCTTTCTTTACATAGTTGAATGTGCTGACAACAAAAATCACACAAAAATTATCAATGGAAATCAAATTTATCAACCCATGGAGGTCTGGATTTGGAGTCACACTCAAAATCAAAGTGGAAAACCACACAGGCCGATCCAGCTAATGTCCTTAAAACAAGTCAAAATGAGGCTCGGTAGTGTGTGTGGCCTCTACGTGCCTCTATGACCTCCCTACAACACCTGGGCATACTCCTGATGAGGTGGCGGATGGTCTCCTGAGGGATCTCCTCCCAGACCTGGGAGACAAAGGCGGAGGTAGCGGTCCTGCTGCTGGGTTGTTGCCCTCCTACAGCCTCCTCCACGTCTCCTGATGTACTGGTCTGTCTCCTGGTAGCGCCTCCATGCTCTGGACACTACGCTGACAGACACAGCAAACCTTCTTGCCACAGCTCGCATTGATGTGCCATCCTGGATGAGCTGCACTACCTGAACCACTTGTGTGGGTTGTAGACTCCGTCTCATGCTACCACTAGAGTGAAAGTACCGCCAGCATTCAAAAGTGACCAAAACATCAGCCAGGAAGCATAGGAACTGAGAAGTGGTCTGTGGTCACCACCTGCAGAACCACTCCTTTATTGGGGGTGTCTTGCTAATTGCCTATAATTTCCACCTGTTGTCTATTCCATTTGCACAACATCATGTGAAATTGATTGTCAATCAGTGTTGCTTCCTAAGTGGACAGTTTGATTTCACAGGAGTGTGATTGACTTGGAGTTACATTGTGTTGTTCAAGTGTTCCCTTTATTTTTTTGAGCAGTGTATATCTGCTTCCATATCCTTCTCACCTTTTTTACCCCTGACCAGTTTGCATGCCTGCGTTTCCCCTTTGCTCAGCTCTCCCTCCCTCTTAACATCTATTTTGTCTTTGTAACAGAAAGCATAGTAGACTTTAAAGGGAAACGTAAAATGAAATGAAGACTGTGTAGATAACACCATAAGGTTAGAAATTAACTACGACTCCCACAGTGCACATTGGCAAGAACTAACTGCGGGTGGAAACACAATATTATGCTGTTGAGAAAACTGATAATACAATCTGCGCCATAAACCAATGAACCTTTTAATTCTAGGACACACGGGATGAATTAAGCATATACGGGATTGTTTTTTTTTTTTGTTAACTGCATCAACAAAGGATTTTGTAGCTCTGAATTATCCCTCTGACAGGTTAATGGGTACTGCAGTATTTAGGTGCTTGCCATGCTGAAATGACGGAACTTCTCATAAACAGCGTTTAAATAACTAAAACTGGTGGCCATGACCCAGTATGACTGTAACATTATCTGGGAGAGTCCTGGAACATTGAGGATATCATTAAAAGAACAGCTTGAGATGGGAATACAGAATTTGGGGGGGGTAACTCCACTTATAAAATCCATATCTGTCGTAAATTTAAATTAGTTGGACAGATGCGTCCTTTGTGAAGGTATTTCCTGAGTGATTCATAGATATATGGGGTGGAGGCAGTGTTTCCCACAGGCTCTTAAGAGACTATGGTGGGTGGGCCTCGGACCCTCTTGGGTCCGGGGGCATGCCCCCTCGGAAGAAAAAAGTTAAATGCATTAATTTGGCGCAAAATTAAATGTCGCTAACCTGCCTGTCAGCTCGCACTGGGCCGTTACAGTGGATTTAGCATAAAGGCTTTAAAGAGGTGGTATTATGTTCATTTTCAGGTTCAAAATCTTATTTAGGGGTTGTACCAGAACAGATTTACATGATTTAATTTTCAAAAAACACCATATTTTTCTCATACTGCATATTGCTGCAGCTCCTCTTTACACCCTATGTGTTGTACGCTCCGCTCTTGAACTACAGAGTTATGTATCTTACTTGTACAAAATCTTTGTTGGGAGTTGCACATGCACAGTTCCCAGGTAAGGACTACTAGCCAATCAGAAGCAGAGAAGGTGGCGTGAAGCAGAAACAAGGTAGTGTGATCCAAATCAAAGCCGCTTCAGTCTGCGACTGTAACCTAGCAGATGGTATAAGTTATTACCAGTCCACAACCACACAACATCATTGTTCCACATCTTACCATTAGGACAAACGTTGAACTGTTGCCGGTGTTCTGACGATCTATGCTGCCTTGCTGAAAAATGCTACCATAGCGCCAATCGAAAGACTTGACTTTACTCGGCCCTGCTCCGTTTTCCATTGCAGACAGTACCCAGAGATAGTACGTAGCTTGTCGTCATAGCAACGCCACACACAACTGCAGCGATATAATGTTCGCTGCAACACACACACCAGCGATCCACACAGCTTTCTCTTTTTTAAGTTAAAACGTTTCAGCATTACTCAGAATGTAAAGACAGATAAGCGGTATGAAAACCTTCCAGCTGTGTTTTCCTCTGCCGTTGTTGCTGCAGCGGTCTGTGTGACGGCGAGAGCAGAGGGCCATCACTTCTCGTAAAACTGTCAATATACGAAATCTACACAGCTGATTTCTCACCTCAAAACTTCTCAGAAGTGGATTTAGTGATGAAATTCCATACGAAAACTGTAAAATATAAAACTTTCTGTTGCTGGCCTCTGTCTGGTGCAGCAATGATGATGCAGTGAATAGTGAATATTCTCTCTGACCAATCAGCAGTCTGCTGTGTTTTCACGTTACATTTTAGTATCACCTCAGCTCGCTTGGAACCTTGACGGAGGTGAGGTGAGGTGAAAAAAGTACCTGGAAGCAGGTACAGGTACAACATTTCTACAATGGAAAACCAAACAAAGGCGAGTCGAGCCAAAGGGCCTCCGCTCAGACTAGCTTGGATTGAGGGCGTTTGGCAAGCTTTATGATGCGTTTTCATTGTGATGTCACAAGTAAAGGAAGTGAAGGGCTGGACTACAAACGAGCTGTTTTCAAGCAGTTCAGAGCAGAGCTTTCTGTGGGAGATGGGAACTCCCTTTGGGCTGGACTTTGGGCTTTTTCACTTTGCAAACCTGTTACATGCACAAAAAAGATATATAACTCAATAAAGGAGAGGGGAAAAGCCAAAAAGCCCAATACCACCTCTTTAATACGTGTGCACTCCAAATGTAGGCGCGGCTAGCTTAATCGCCGACAAACAAGTGACAGAAACAGGCCGTTAACGTTACCGTAGTTAACGTTACCTCAAAAGAAAAGTGGTTTTCTCGAGTCGAATGCAAATTAGACTATGGCGGGCCGCCATAGTCTAATTAATTAATGGGAAACACTGGTGGAGGCTTGATGCCAATAGAGAACAGGTGCACATCAGTTCAATTTGATCACTTTGATTTTGATAGCATTGTGAGTCAACACAATGGAGGCCTCTTCTGGCCTACCTGTGAGAGGAAGTTTAGAGTAGCTGTAAATCCCAGCTGTAATTTGCTCAAGAGCCTCACACAGCCACTTTAATTTACTGCCATAAAGCAATCGTAGTGGAAGGCTGGGCCACAGCGCTTGATCTAAAATGAGTTGAAGTCCTTCTGCTAGGAGATGAAAAGCAGCTTGGAAACAGTGATTCACCTGCCCTTTTTTGGAGGTAGGAGGGGGGGACACCTCTCCAATATGGTTTCTCATTATACCTCCTAAATTTTTCACTGTAGGGAGGAGGCAGTAAAATTAATTGGGTTGTTAAAAAGTAGGCAATCATCCATAAGAGGAGCAGTATCAGTCTGTGGAGATGGGGATACTGTGCTGACTGAAAACTCTTGTCACTTTAACTGGATCCTGTATTGGGCTCTCTTACTTTCTGGAAATCATCTTTGCCCATGCTTCAGGTTGTTGCGGCTGCGTAACCCGTGGGGTCGCTTCTCGTGGAACGGCAGCTGGTCGGACGAGTGGACAGACTGGCCACAGCACCTGCGTCACGAGCTGATGGCGCATGGCAGCAGCGAGGGTGTCTTCTGGATGGAGTACAGCGACTTTATCAAGTAAGAGACGTGTTTACAGAGAGATGTTTTTTTGTGCTAATTGCATATATCTAAGCTGTATGAAACCATTTTTTGATTTGATTACCTCAGGAAGCAAGCTTATTTTCCCCATGACAGATGTTACTACAGTAGCATCACAAAATCTTTTAAGTGATAACCCACGACCACCTCATTTGTAGTTGGAGCATCTCATAAAGTAACTCACCCTTTCAGACTATTCATTCAGTCACTGATTCCCACTTTGCCAGTCTCCCCCCCTAGTGGCCCTCTGGAGGCATGGTAGCATTTAAAGTTGATAGTGAACAGTAATAGTTTGTCAGCAGTTTTGCTGACAAGTCATTGTTACTGTGAATTTCTTTTGCACTACCTTTTTCAGAGATGACTTAATAGTCAATCACTCTGTGCTCATGTGATAATGTTAATAATGTTAATAACTCTCAAAATGTCCTCTTATCGTTCCATGATGGATGCACGTAATGTGCTAAAAGGCTTCGTAATCTCATGCCTTTGTGGATTTTGTTGGCCATCTGGTATTGACAACAAACTGAAGGACAACATTTTTGTTGTTTTTAATACATTGTGTTTGTTGACAAGTGCATCATACACTGGTTCCCCAGTGTTGGGTTTTTTTTTGTGGTTGCTTTGGTAGCCAGGGATTTGGCAGGCAGGAGGTTTAGACTCTAGACTCAGTGTGTTTTGCCATATTGGATTAATCCTGCTATTAAGTCACACACAGCATCAAGTATTGACTAGTGTTTTTCTTGCTTCTGTGGGTTTTTATGCATGCCTGCAAATCCCTAGCTTTCAGAAAATGTCATTGGTCAGTAAACATGGTTGCCTGTTAACAGTTTGATTGAAAGCAAAACCAACAGTAATCTGAAACATAATGGGGAGCTGTTGCCTAGGAGTGTCCTAAAACATAACTGACTGAACCATAATGTTAGAAATGAAAAGAAAAAAAAAAAAAACTGAATTACAGCCTTAAAAAGCCAAAAGCGAAAAAAAATCTAATAAAGCTTGAAGGGAATCTGTGTGGCTGTCAACAAAAGCTTTTCACTAAGTGTTTATATTTTGTGTAAATGACCTGATTTTACACTACCAAGCTGTGAGATCAGGAACAGCACTGCAACTGGCTAGAAAGGTTTTTTTTCTTACGGTCTACAAGCCGTCTGATCAATAGGCGTTGTCACAATCTCCACCAGGTTAGTAGGTTTGCCAAAGATAGATTTTGAGCGCGTCTGTGTGTAGGTCTGTTATTCATGTCCCTTGTGTCTAACAAAATAAGAGTTGCAATAAGTCCAGAAGGATCAATGTGGCAGTCCTCCTGAACGACTCAAAACTGAAAAATGTACTCGGCCCAGACGAGAATCCCATTTGTCTTCTGTTTTTGTTTTCTCCGACAGACAAATAATCTCACCCTTGTGCTATATGACAAACCCTTCACCCTGTGTCTGCCTTGACTTGTTTTAGTGTGGAAAAAGAAAAGGTGGTCAGCTTGTTGGACAAATATCAAGGCGCTTATTTTGATTCATGTGTGTCAAGTGGAAGTGAAGTTTTTTTCATTGCAGACACATTTATTTCTAGGGATGTAAACCTAATGTAAAGCTTCAGCAAACCTACCTTTTCTTGCTCTCCTTCTTCCTTATTGTCAAGGAGACAAAAGTAAGGTGTAAGACAGTTGTCAAGGCAAGGTTAGGAAGTGATGAAACAATGAAAACAGACTGAAAGTGAGGAAGAGAATGTCTCTGAGGGGGCTCTCTTTGAAGGACGAGGCCTAATATGTTAGCAAGGTAAATGGTGTTTGTACAGCAGTACCCTCAGAGGCTATGCTAATGTTAAACAGCTGCTTGTTATGCATATAAATAGACTTAGCTCATGGCAGGGGCAGAGCACAGTCTAACTGCTGGTGTCTCAGAAGAACGGGTCCTTATGCACGTCTGGAATCATGCAGACTTTTCTTTTGATGCCGTGTATATTCTAAAGAAGGCTCTATCCTTTCAACCATCTCCTCCCACAGGTACTTTGACTCAGTGGACATCTGTAAGATTCACTCAGATTGGCAGGAGGTGAGGCTACAGGGCTGCTTCCCCAGCAAGGCCAGCGGGCCGGTCACTGTCACAGCCCTCACTGTGCTGGAGAGGACGGCGTTGGAGTTTGCGCTCTTCCAGGAGGGAAGCAGGTAAATAGGACAGTTCTCAGCATTTTCAGTCCTCCGTCACCCCTCCCCACCTTTCCTCCCTCCCTTTCCTCCCCTTCAGTGTTTTTTTTTTTTTGTTTGTTTTTTTCTGCCGCCCTTACCTTTGTATGAGCTAAACCCATTCTTCCCCTCTCCCTCTACAGGCGTTCGGACACAGCTGACAGCCACCTACTGGACCTATGCATCATGGTGTTTCGTGCCTCCTTCGGCAACGGCAACAAGCTGACCCTGGGGCGCTTGTTGGCTCACAGCAAGCGAGCGGTGAAAAAGTTTGTTGGCTGTGATGTAATGCTGGAGCCGGGGGAGTATGCTGTTGTCTGCTGCGCCTTCAACCACTGGCAGATGAATGTCAGTGGGACTACGGGAGGTCCGCCCACGCCCGGTAGGTGTACGGATAAAATATGCACAACGCATATGCTTTTCTTGTTTTTGTTGCTTATCAGTTCATCCATACTATAACCCTGTTTACCATACAAAACTCTTCTTCCCAGTCTCAAGCCCCACCAGCGGAGTGCCACGACGACCCAGCCAGGACTTCCCCGGTTACATCCTCGCTATCTACAGCTCTAGACAGGTGATGGTGGAGCAGGTGGAGGCGACCGCCACCACACTGGCTGATGCCATCATCCTCCTCACGGAAAACAAAGGCGAAAGACACGAGGTGAGACACACTCATTTCAGAACAAGCACATTGCAATAAACCAACCCATAGTTCTGTTACATACCTGTTATTGTTTCCTACTTCCCCAGTTTTCACTTTCTCTGTCCTCCCTTCTCCCTGTCTCACAACTACATACTTCATCTTTGAATGTAATATATATGCTTGTGAAGCCGGAGAACGCTTCTAACTCTGTAAGCCGCTTTGAGATAACACTTTAGATTTCCTCAGCACAGTCCCCAATCCTATTCTGTCTTTACACATGCAAGTATGTGCGCATCTCCCCTACATACACACACACACACACAGCCACTCACACCCAAGGAAATTATTCTGGCTCTCCTGAACAGTGCTTTCCTTAAAGTGCTGTCACATTGGCTGGTATTTCAGAGGATGACAGAGCTTTTTAAACACTTGAATTCATCTTTGTTAAGTCATTCATCTCCCCAGGAACTCACCACTCAAGATAGGCGGGCCAAGCACTCGGGAGTGCACTGCTGCCACTACACGAACGGTAGTGTTTCAACAATATGGTTAAAAGAGGATTAATAAATAATTTCAGCAGTCTTGAGTCGTGAAAAAAGAGTTTTGTATTGAGCACATACATGTGTGGCTGACAGATATATTTTAGGTACAGTGGGATTACTAGATGGTGTTACTAGGCCGCTGGACATGAAATGACAGCAGCCAAAGCCCCAGAAAAAAGGGTCAACCAATGCATGAAAGATGAAAGTCCTCTCACCTTCAGAGAGTTGTTACTGTGAATGCAGAATGCATTCTAACACTGTTGTGGTGATGTGCCTTTTCACTGTAGCTACATTGTAAGCAGACAGCTGTGTATCTTTCAGCCATCTTAAATATTTCCATCAAAAGGAAAAATATTTTTGAGTTGGCAAAACCTACTGGTCTCACTGCAGAGAGTAGCCTCAATAGACCAGATCAGTGCAGCCACAAGGTATTTTGAATTGGGGGGAAAAACCCATTTAGTCCTTATTAGGCTATAAGAAGAAATATCACTATCTTCACCTACACCTGCCTTGGACAAACAGACTGGGGACAAATTAAATGAAAAACCTTAATTAAAGAGTGGAGAAACTTAACAGATGCAGATGCTCCCGTACACCAGGGCTCACTGAATGGTTTGAGTATGAAAATGACCTGAATAAAATTACAGTCACCAGATCTCAATCCATTTTCACACCGACTTTAATCTTAAAATGTATTTAGTGATGTCTGTGATTATCTCTGATGCTGTATATCCTTTTGTTATGACTGGCTGTGTTTGTTTTTCTTTTTATCTGCTGCAGTCTGATATCTCTAGCAAAAAAGAGTATATGAGATTTGTTTACCAATTTGTAAATTGGAGCAGCAAAATCATTCACCATCCTATGTCTCTTAACGCCAAGTGATCCATATACAAATGTAGCATTTCATTTACTCTGCATACACAATTACTGAGGGCTGCATCCTTGCTTCTACACCAACAGCACACACTTCAGTCTGTGCCTGTATGAGAATTTAGAATGTCTTAATTTTAAATATCCGTTCACTTTCATCAAATTTTGTGTTTCTCAAGCTCCTCTGAGGTGTCTGTGAGCTCAGGGAAAGACTGTCAATCCTGCTCTGATTTGTCCTGGAGCATCACAAGAGTCAGACCGCCAAACTAAAGTGCATATTATTGATATACATATATGTATTAAGTGCCCTGTCCTGACTAAAGTGTTCCTACCGTCATATAACAGGCAGGAGCCTCACGGATCTTCTGCACCCACTATACCAAGTCTGCAAATGTGTCTTTTCTGCTTAAATATCTGTCCACTTCTTTGATTGCGTCTGTTCATGTGTGCTCTCAGGGCCGCGAGGGCATGACGTGCTACTACCTGACCCATGGCTGGGCGGGACTCATCGTTGTGGTGGAGAATCGCCACCCCAAATACTACCTCCACGTCTCCTGTGACTGCACTGACAGTTTCAATGTGGTGTCCACGCGCGGCAGCCTCAAGACCATCGACAGCGTACCTCCTTTGCACAGGTCCCTCTCTCGTCCTCACACACACCCACATACAACTCTGAAAGTCTTTTTATTTTTTATTTTATTAAGTTATAATATTACCTTGGTAGAAATGAACTGACTTTATAACAAGTGAAGAGATTAAATGCTCTGGGAACATTTGGTACAGGTAAAGCAAACCTCCACACACTTAGACGATTAAATCTGTGTGCACACACACACACACACTTAATTGCAGTGATCCCAAAGGATTAGCGCTCTATATTTCTTAATAATCTACCTTAGGCTGGTAATAGCACAGTAATAGTTGCCTTTGTTTTTCTGTTGGTCCCCATTTTCTCTGCCCTTTAAAGCCCAGTGCTTTAAAGACCTGCAAAATAATGTAGGCGCATACACACCTTTGAAATCTAGCACAGTGGAGATGTTCACACATCATTAGCTTTCTCTGAATTTAGGTTCTTTGGTGATCTACAGTATGACTTCCAGTCTTACAGACACTTTACAGTGCACATTAATGTCAATTTACGACTGTATCACCTAAAAGTTATGTCCCACATAATGGGAAACTGTAAAAAGTCGCCATGCATGAGGGCCGTGTCTCTTAATTGCATTTCCCCCAAGAACATCATGTTATTATGTCAGTTCACTTGATAAAAACACTAATTTTCGGATGTACTTTCTCACTTGATGTTATACAATAAGTTCACAGGTGAAAGCATTTAGCAGCTCATAGTCAGGACAAGATGTAATTCTCCCTGTACTCCGCTATCCTCAAGCCAATGGAAGCCTGAGTAACACAGTCAAAGGGAGCAAGTTTTTGTTTTTCTCATTTCCTGTCACCATATTTCCTCACCTTGGTCTCAAAATAGACGGAATCAGAAAAACAAGCTACTGTGATGGGGTGATGACTAATCAAATTGTCTTCCTCCAACCCTAGCTTCAACTTTGCTGACTAAATGTTAAACAGCAATATAAGTGGCAGACATAGGGACTTTTCAAAAATTCTGAAATCTTTCATTCAGGATTAATAGTTTATTTCTTACCTTGTGATATTTATTTTAAAAGTAGTTCTAAACCAGTTCTTATTTAGTTTGAATAATTGTGCTGTAGTCCATCAGCCACCACAGCACCTTAACTCATGCCAATCATTTCATACAGTCCCTTGCTTCCCTACACCATACACACCATAGAAAGACAGCGCCACGTTTTGAATGCTCTCCGTCTCCCCCTGCAGGCAGGTGCTGGTGGTGCTTTCACAGCTGGAAGGAAACGCCGGCTTCTCAATCACCCACCGCCTGGCTCACCGCAAGGCAGCCCAGGCCTCGCTGGGAGACTGGACCCCCACCAAGGCCACCCACAGCCCCCAGCTCACTCCGGACATTGATGGCCTGCACCGGCCCAGGCCACTATGACCACCGCCCACCATCTCGCATACGCACAGTCTATAATCCAATAAAATGTCAGACCACTGGAAATACAGGCAAGGGAGGGCGAGAGGTGTGTGCAGTCCTAAAACATGGAGCAAGCTGTGTATTTGTGCGTCTCTTTGGATGAACACACACCTGAATGTAAAACAGAAATGGCCAACATTTACGTGCTATCCTCCTAACGCTCCACGTACACTCTCCCTTGCCAAGTGGATGTGCCAAGTCAGGATGAAATGAGGGAAGCGGCCACATGGAGTGACCGGGACTTACTCACAGAATAAATTTTCAGCCAGGCCCCAAACAAGATCCAGTTCAGGCTACTTAGAATTCTGGACGTTTTTGGTACAAGCGCTGTAAGTGGAACAGATGCCACCCCTGAGTTTCATATGCTTGGAGACGACCCTGCTTTCAGTGAGAAGTCAGGGTGGAGTGCTGTAACTACTGAGCCATTTTTCCGGCCCACAACCTATGAGCCAATCACCCGCAACGATCAGACACTCACCCCTATGTCGTCCACAAGGACATCTGACAAAGCAGGAGACTTCAGGGGGAGTCTCGCCCAGCCCTCAGTACGGTACTTAATGAGCCAAACCCATCTTCTAGTTTTACTCATATTCATACATGTTTTTTTTGTTTTTATTTGAGAATATACACATCTGTCTTTTTTTTTTATATGAGACCCTTGTTGCCGTCTTGTCCATATTTGTGTTTTTGAGGTCGTAGAAAAAAAACATCATTCATACAGCACTGTCTCTCCCCGCTCTCCATCATCACCGCTGTGCTGTCTAGCGTTCTCTGTAGCTCAGGACCAAACCCGTGATTTCTACAGTAAGCTGGAGTCGAGCAAAACCTCAAGCTGATTTTGTGGCAGGTGCATGGTGGCCAGATAGCTGGAATAGCATCTTTTTGTTGTTACAAGCCAAGCTGTGGTGTAGGGAGTAGTGTTGTAATGGGGGGTTTTAGCCACTGAAATACTGACACATCATAGAATTCCCACCCTAGTGCTTCGATAGATGTAACATATAACTTTGGCTTTTTTCCCTACAGAGAAACAACCACTGTACCTCCTTTTTTACCTTTCTCTTATTTTAATAAATTTTTACTCCGCCTCAGTTTGTAGTCTGAACGCTGGAGGCGAATCATTACCTGAGCGGCTTTGTACTGTTTGTTTGTTTTTTTTGTTTGTTTTTTTGGGGGGGGGGTACCGAAGGTCAGTGAGTCTATTTCTCACACTTCAACAGTTTGCTAGTGTGTTGATTTACACTTTAGTGTACTTAGGGAGTAGTAGAGGAGGTAGTGGCTGTTTGAACAGTCAGTTTGCCATAGGGGAGCTCTGAAGAGGAGCTGCCAAGTTTACTTTGGGAGGGCAGGGACCATTTTTTGTTTGCTTGGGTGCAGCGCGAGCATCTCTGCCGTCCTCCCACAAGAATACACCGACAGCACATTAGCGACAGCACAGCGTCCTCGTGTTACCATGTACCATTTAGTCAGACTGCTTGCACGCATAACAAGAGAGGCAAGGGACCTCTAAGACATGTTTTTACACAAAAAATAGTGTAGTTCCCTTTCAATTTGGGTTGTGTTGTTTCAGATGATGGGCTGCCTACAGCTGTTTTACGGATGTCCTCTTAGGGCGCCAACCACTTGTTCTTTCCAATTTCTCCAGTATCAAAGCCATTACTCCTGTTTCACTAAGGATCTTTCTGTCCTCACTATGGCAACATAGGTGTTTAATCAGAGAGAGGGGAAAAGACTAATGCGGTACTATAGTAACAGGATGGAGTGGGAGACTTCAAGTCAAAGTTGGTGTCTTACTATTATGTTGTGAAATGGGGGTAAACTTGAAAGCTAATAAGTAAAATCTCTGGAGCAGTCCTACAATGAATGACTGTTTGGTAGAAAAGAATGCATTTTTTTTATGGCAAGATCATTTTTGAGTTGAAACATTGAAGTTTCCACATGAGATTCGTGATTCAGTTCTGGACTTAAGCTCAGTGACATTGAGTAAAAAAACTTTTTTTGCGTTGATGCTAGATGGCAGCACTGTGTCCCCATGCTCGCAGTCTTATTTCCTCTGCACAGCCACGTCTGCCAGCGCTGGCAGACTATACTTCACGACGTCTTCAGGACAGTTTGTAAGAAAACTACTACAGCAGCGTAAGGTTTCTTTGATGAAACCCCAAAGCTGAAGTAACTGTAAATATGTTTTCCAAAGAAACATAATGTGTAATGACCACTTTCAGATGTCTGTCTGCCCTGTGTGAGTGTGTTCGCAGCCAAGTAGCTGTGAATTCGGTGTCTAATTTATTTTATAAGTGATTTGCAGGCCTGTTGCCTAATGAATATTGTTGAATACTGAAATGATGAATGACAGATAAAGGAATGTGATAACTTATGGCTTTAGTTTGAGCCCAGAGGGATTAGCTTGATGTGAAATGAACCTGCACTGAAACACCTGCAATGACGAGGCACCTCGAAATTCAGTGTCACTGCTGGATCACTTTACATTTACATGAGATAGATTTTTGTTTTATACTATGTTTGTTTGTTTTTTTTGGTCATAATTGTCATTTTGGCTCGTGCTGGTGTCCTATGAACCTACTCCTCTTCTGTGAAGTTGTGGTGGTGACTCTTCTATGCGTCATGGGTGCCCCCTGCTGCTGAAGCGGCTGCCACCTGAGAAAAGCTGGTCATTAACAGACCAGCTAACACAACGCCTTTTCTCTCTCCTCTCCTTTGTCTGGTTTTCTCCTTGTAAATTGTATAGACTGCAAACATAAGCCACACAAAAGATAAAAACCGTAAGAAAAAAAATTAACTGACCCTTTTTAAACTTGTAAAAAAGTAAAACAATAAAAGTGAAAGTATGACAGTAGAAACAAAAAAATTAAACCTAATGCTGAAAAAAAATGGAACTCTGATGAATGTGATATATATTTTATTGATCTTTTCTGGCGGGGAATATAAATATATGTGTACAAACATTATGTACGTTTAATTTTCAATCTCAGGTTCCGATGGACCAAATAAAGTTTTTTAAATTAAAAGGCAACTTTTGTCATCATTCCGAACACAATGTTCTCCACGTACACATTCCCATTTATTATACAGTAACAAGAAGGCTTTGTTAGTGTGTGACTCAGAAACAACCTGACAAGCACACAGAGCTGTCGGAGCAGAATTTATGCTGTTGTGAATAATAAAGAGGAAGTCAAATCTTTCAAGTTACAAATATTTAAGTGGGAAAGCAGTCTGATGAAAGGATATGTATTTACATATCCAAAATGTCTTTCATTTACACTTGTTTACTGCAGTATTATTGATTCCAGAGATCCCCTTTCTGTGTTTGTTATCATTGATTCCTTTGTTCTTCATTTCCTGGCCTGTGACGTGTCTCTTCCATGTAGACTGAGTGTGTTTTTGCAGAAAATGTCTCTCTGGTGTCTTATAGTTGTGTTTGTGTATGTGTCCACTCCCTGTTTTGAGTCTCCACCTCTCCTTCCAACCCTCCCCCCACCTTCTCCTTTTACTCCACCCCACACTTTTTTTTTTTCTAAAAATGCACTTCTGTCCTCTCTTCTTCGGCCCCCGACTTCCTCCAAGGCAACCCCCCCCCCCCCCCCCCCCCCAACCCATCCAACTCCCTTACCCGCTCGGTAGTAGTTCCCCACTACTCTCAGATGCCTGGAGCACTCTGGCGGGCTCTGTGGTGTTAGGTTTTACTGACCCCAGCAGAGACACTGTGAAGGCTCCACAACTTGGTGATATCCAGCATTAGGAGCTGTCAATCACTTTCTTCAGACCTGAGAACCAAGAAAACTCAAAATCATCTAGAAGGCTCTTTGCTCGTCTGGAACCAAAGGTATGATTGCTGAAATATCTGTCCATCTCTTGCTGTTGTGACATACATCTTCTTGTTAGTCTGGAGTGTATGGCAAGGCAGGTTGAAAATGTGATAATGCTTTCCCCCGGACTGTGTGTGGAAAGACTTGCCATGCTAAAAACTTACCAGTGTCACGGTCAGATATGTGACGAGAGAAAAGCAAGAACCTGCCCTCCCGTGGGAAATCTGTTCATTTCCAACCCCGTGCCTCCCTGGTGCTCTGTAGATACGAAGGAACTAATTAGATATAGCCCTTTCAATTTTGTCTGCAGACATGATAAGGCTGAATCATTCCCCGGCAACACTTAATATGAAATTGAAAAGATACAGAGTTCCTCAAAGTAGAGGGAAAAGTTGTTTTCTTGTAAAACTGGAATGAGCAGCATTAGGAGTATAAAAGCCTCAGTGTGATAAAGTAAAGCATTTATTGTGCAGCTCTCCATTTAAGAAAATTGTTGCTGCGAGCTGCATGGCGTTAAATGCTATTTGCTGTGTTTTGAAGGCCAGGTTAGAAACGGGTAGATGTTTAATTTAAATAAATAGGGAAACAAATACAGACACTTGATTTAAACCAATTAGATTAATTGGATCTATAGAGAAGTGCCACCAGGTGATCACATTTCTCTCCCCTTTTATTTTCCCCTATGCCTGACCAAGTCAATAAATCATGTAACATGTGGGGAAAGAGTATCTATATTAAGGGCAGAGGCATGAACTCAAGAACAGCACTAGTGAAAGCTCCACTTTTTCTGAGATTTGGGTGATCCTCTTCTCATGAGAGTTTCTGTCAGGACCTTCAGGTCCGAGTGTATGTGTTGGGGCAATCACGATCTTTAGGCCATAGTGCGTGTCTGTATGTGTCCCATCATTGTATCTATGTTGAGAAAACATACCTCTCTGCCTTGAGATGTCCTGTCTTAATTGATGTATTTATACTTGCTTCACTGTTGCTTGGTGAACATCTCATATCCTTGAAAATCCGGAGAAGCTTACTTTGTGTATTTGTATATTACTGTATATAACTATATATAACTTTAACATGTTATCATGGATTCTGAAATAGCTTGTGTGGGGCCTGGCAGCAGTGATGCATTATCATGGGCAGCATTTCAAACCCTGGTCTGGATTCTCCTAATAGCAGTGAAAACCTTTGTTGGGTCAGTGTAGTGTGTTACATGGTTGTCATTGTGCATGGGGATAAGACATATGTTCTTCCACCAGTGTCCACATCCAGCCCTGCTTCTTCGCATTTGTCAGTCTAACCTAATGGGGGGGGGGTCTCTGTCCCTGTCCCTCACATCCCACTCACTCTGCTTTGTATCTGTCTGGCAGCATACACACACACACAGACTTGTAAACTAATGGATATTATGTTTTAGAATGTCAAAGGGGGCTACGTTGATGGTGGTGTGTAGTTTCAGGTACTGGCGAGAAAATGAAATACAATCCAGGTCTAGTTTGAGTGACAGACCCTTGAGTTTAAAAGCTTATCAGATACCAAAACACTGCATGGCATTTTAGAATACTCTGTTACAGGATTTTAGAGCTCTTGGAAGTTATCCCAACAGCACTTATTATATCTTTAGACAATCACAAGGTGAACTGTAAAACCATGCCGTTTGTGTGACAAAGCAATCTAAAAGAAATGTGCGCTTGCACGTCAGTGCAGCAAGGTGAGAAATTAAACCACATGAGTCAGCAAAAAAAAGATTTGCAGGGGTTGTTCATTTACTCTTTAAATGTCTGCCCACTCTTAAAATGGGCCAAACATTAAATGATAGATGTTCAAAACAGTATAATAAGTGTTTTAATTCTTCATTCCTCTTCTGGTGAAAACTGAACGCCACAGCATGGCGTCCCAGATCCCAGCGCTCCCAGACTCCTGTGCTCCAGGGACTGACAGCGTCTTTTCTGTACGGTCTGGCTTTTACTCTCTGGACTCCAATGTCCCTGGCCTCTCTAAGGTGATTCTCAACAAGCTCAACATGAAGGACTACGGAGAATACAGGTAAAAACTACTGATTCTAGCTTAGAATAGCTAGTGTTAAAACTGATAAGCACAGTCGTTACTCTTCCTTACTTTCAGTTTGATTTTCATACCATCAGACCTTGATTAGATTAACTGACATGTATGTTATAAATTGTTTTCTTCATGTAGTTGCACTTCATAACTTAACTTCATATGTCCCATGCTTTCACAACTTCCTACATATGTTACTTCAGTGTCTGAAATTCTACCAAATTCTTGAACACACTTTATGCTTGGCAAATGAAATTTCTGCCTCTTGTAAGGGCTGCTCTTGAGGGAAAGCCTAAAGGAATCGGGTTCCGCAACTACAAGGAGTTGTTCCAGAACATGGAGGAGACCTTCAAGTTCTGCACCAGCTGCAACAAACTGCCAGAGCATCTCACCGAGGGACAGACCCTGAAGCGCTGTGTGAAGTGAGTGCAAAGCCACAACTGAAGTGTGATGCTTGAGAGTGAATGCAGAGATCACTGAGGTGCTCACTTTAGTGGGTGCTCCATGATGCATGATTTGCAATATTCTAGCATTAACACTGATTAACATTAATCATTGTTGACAAGGAGAATCATTTAAGCGACTGAAACCTACACCGTTCTCTGGTCAGCTGTATTATCACCCAGTCAGGACATTGTTGGGGACATTGCTGTCCTGACCAGGTCTGTCATGTGTAAAGTATTACTTGCTGTATCAGTGACAGAATGATAGGCCACCAAGGTGTGGACAGCTCTACAGAGGTGGACAATGGCCAGTGGCAAAATATAGCTAAGTCCCCTGACTGTGATTCATCTCTCTGCAACTCTGCCGCTTATTAAGAGCAGCTCAATGCAGTTCATAACGTTGCAACATCACAGAGTGTATTTCAGTTCAAGGAGTGTATTGAGAGAGGGTGGAATACAGTGCGCTGCATATTCTCAAGCGCCCCATTGTTTTTATGCCTTGTTTTTCTTCTGGCTCTCTGCTTCTCTATTGCTTTCTTTTCTTTCTCTCTCTCTCTCTCTCTCTCTCTCTCTCTCTCTCTCTCTCTCTCTCTCTCTCTCTCTCTCTCTCTCTCTCTCTCTCTCTCTCTCTCTCTCTCTCTCTCTCACACTCACACACACACACACATTCACACATTCACACACACACTGTCCTCCTATGTGCATTCCCTTGAAATTCTCAGCTGCCACCGCATCTCTCAGAAAAGTAACCAGTAGCAGCAGACACAAAACAGAGCTCCTGACAAGTAAAAACCCGCAAGATCTTTTACATCAGAGTATTACGAGAAAACAGGTGCCTGTTTGTGATTTTCCATCACCTTTTTCATTCTCATTCTGATTCACATTGATCAATGAATTACTCTTAAGGTATCTCTCTGCAGAATTGTTTTTATACCTTTCAAAGGCACCTGTGTTTTCTCAGCTTGTTTTGTCTCCCTTTGTCCACTCGTGAGCCTCTTTTGGTGGATTAGTACGTCCAAAGTGTGCGATGACAGAGCATGTTGGCTGGTAAATGATTTTATGGAAATGTGAATGCCCCTAAGGCTGCAAATGATTGCAAGGTAATGTAATATAGTCTCCCAAAACACCAACCGGCACTGGCAGTCAGACCTCTAATCCAACACATTACCTCACCATCCTAATGCAAAAGCCCACATCCATACAGAGAGTTTGTATAATCAGTAGCAAATTCCAACTTCTACCTTCCACGGCTGTTTTTGCCAGCTGCCGTCTAAAACAGGACATAATTAATCTTCGGTGTCACAAGGTTGCCACTGAATGAGGGGGTCAAATATAGAGACAGTTTCTATGACTGTAAGATGCTATTTATGTCCTGGCACAAATAAGACATTCTAGTGGTTGTCCAATCATAGCAGTAGTTTGGTTTGCATCAAATACCTTAAGAGTAATAACAAGCCATCACTGCATACTAATATTATCAGTGGTATTTCACTGATGTTCAGGTTCACAGTGAACAGTTCCTCCAGATTCCATCAATCAGTAGATATTTCCCCCCTCAATTTATCTTAGAACAGAACCGTAGGCTACAGCCATGGTAGCAGCTCTGTGAGGTTGTACTTAAGCACCACAGTGCTTTGAGCTAACGTTAGCATTCTAACATGCTCACAATGACAATGGTAGCATGTTGATGTTTACCACATT